AGGCTCGTTCGCGAAAAGCTGGCATCGGCCGCCCATCCTTTATTTGCTCAAAAAAAACTCGTCAGTCTGTTGAACAGCTGTTTGCATCGGCCGGCCCTTCATGCAAACAGAATGATGGTCTTGCACTGTTCGAAACCTGAACTGTGTTTGCTGAAAGACGACAAGGACCCACCTTTCACTTGCTTAAAACAATCTTGTCACTCTGAAGAGTTCAGTCGTGAGGACGGTATTCTTGGCTCGAGCCTACACTCTGGACTGCTAATCACCTGGTGAATAGCACAACGTTGCATTTGCGTCTGACCAGCTCCATACAATACGCCGCAGCTGGAGCCAGCCAAATCGGACCCTTTGAGCAACCCTTTCGCCGGTTTTGAAGCTGCTCGAACTTCGCCTCTGCCAGCAGGACGGAGACACAAGCTCTGCGTTGCAGTAGCAAAGATGGAGACCAGAACAATTTTGCCACCCGTGTCCTGAAACCAAAGCAATTGTCTTGCTACTTTTATACATTGTACATTTTTCAATAGAATCTTGATGTGCAGGAGGCCTTGGCCTGCCCACGTAGTTTAAGAAAGGCTCAAACTACAAATCAGAAATCAATCTTTGAATGACAGTCTTTCCAGTCCAATCAGTCCTGCAAGACACTGCGGAGTTTTGGTCTCCTCACCCTCTTAATCAGCAAACATCTTAAGAACCGACCTCAAGAGCGCGATGAAAACTGCATGATTGAGTTGCTGAGGGTGCTACTGCTACGCTGCCTATGATGAGAATGACAATGAAAAGCGAACATATTTGAATACAAAAACAACGCAGTCGTTGGAGACCAGCAGCATTCAGACGCAACCTTCTGCTTGTGATGGCACCTTTAACTGCACAGGTAGGGGTCATCACATCATGCGCCAACGAGATTCTCCTTTCATTGCCACAAATGCTCTGGCCACAATTCACTCCAACAACAAATTTGATGATTCATAGCAGGTCAACTCAATTTGCAACGGAACTTCCAAAGCGGTCCTTGACAGCAGTTTCAGCTAACGTTGGGTAAGATAGGAGACACAATCCTTCATACTGCGTACATAGGACAGGTGCGCACAACCTGAGTTTGCAACCGGTTATTGTGCCTTTGGCACTTACATGCACTTTTTGTATTCACAATGAAGAGTGAAAACGAGAAACTGACAGACCCCACGAACACGAATGCACATCGCAAGAGTCCATCATGATTTGAAACTGTGCCTGAAAGAAAAACATATTGTTGGAAAACAACTATAACTATGCCTCTCGAGTGCGACGCTCTCAACCTAGATCTCCTGAAGCACTTTATTAGGACACTCGTGTAAATACACCCTTTAGTAAAAATCCCACAAGACGCTCTTGCAAAGATGCTGTGGGAAATTCCTCTAAGCCGCTCTTGTGGGACAGTGCAGGACACCTTTGTGGGACACTCCTTTGTGGGACACTCCTTTGTGGGACACTCCTTTGTGGGACACTCCTTTGTGGGACACTCCTTTGTGGGACACTCCTTTGTGAGACACTCTTGCGGGACAGTCTTGTAGCATCCGGTAAGTCACCCCGCGAAGGCAAAGACTGTTTCGTAAGATACTCTTTTGAAACGACATGCTCATGGGACACTCCTACAATACACCCTTGCAGGACACTCTTGTAAGACACCCTCTGGGGAGATGTTTGTCAAACACTCCTGTTGGACACTTTATCAAACATTTGTATGGGACATTCCGTTCATACTTTTGTGGGAAACAGGCCTTGAACATCACTGTTGGAAGCGCACCGAGTAACCCGCCCACCACACAAATTGACATGTCACATGCCCTGAGTATCTCACTTGTCGGGGGAAGCAAAAACCACCAACATCAAATGGTGTCAAGTACTGCGACTGCCACGCATACTGACTGGCCACGACCTCCGAAACCTCACCAAACAGTGTCCGCCACTTTCCATGCAAAATCTCAGACTGCTCTGCGGCTGCTACGCAAATTGGATTTTGTTCAAGCAACAGTTCCAAAATATGTGGCTCGCAAAAAAACGTAAAACACGACGCATCAAACCGGGTTCAGAATAGTTTTTGATTTTTTGTTGGCTCAGATTTTGGATTTTTTTGGCTTTCTTTCTTGGTACCATTTGCCTTGTATTTGCTACAGTTTGGAACTAGAATCTGTCATTTTGCATGGTATTTGCTACATTTTGGCATGGTTACTCTGCTTTTTGCATGGCATTTGCTACATTTGGCAATGTTTGCCTTCCATTTTGCACGGTATTTGCCACGTTTTGGCACTTCAGCCTCTCATTCGCATGGTATTTGCTACATTTTGGTACTTCAAACATTCATGTGGGTTTCTTGAGAGTTTCTTTAGCCTTTCATTTAGGGTTTCATTTAGGGTTTCATTTAGGGTTTCATTTAGGATTTCATTTAGGGTTTCATTTAGGGTTTCATGTGGGGTTTCCTTAGGGATTCTTTTGGGTTTCATTTAGGGCTTCATTTTGGATTTCATTTAAGGTTTCTTTAGGTTTAGGGTTTCTTTAGAGATTCATATTTAAGGGTTTCTTATCAGGATTTCTTATCAGGATCAAGAAACGTTCATGTGGGTTTCTTTGGGGCTTCTTTAGGGTTTCATTTAGGGTTTCTTTAGGGTTTCATGTAGGGTTTCTTTAGGGTTTCATTTAGGGTTTCATTTAGGGTTTCATTTAGGGTTTCATTTAAGGGCTTCTTATCAGGATTTCTTATCAGGATTTCCAAACCTTCATGTGGGTTTCTTTGGGGCTTCTTTAGGGTTTCATTTAGGGTTTCATTAGGGTTTCATTTAGGGTTTCATTTAGGGTTTCATTTAGGGTTTTATTTCGGGTTTCATTTAGGGTTTCATGTAGGGTTTCCTATCAGGATTTCTTGTCGGGATTTCCAAACCTTCATGTGGGTTTCTTTGGGGCTTCTTTAGGGTTTCATTTAGGGTTTCATTTAGGGATTCTTTAGGGTTTCATTTATGGTTTCATGTAGGGTTTCTTATCAGGATTTCTTAGCAGGATTTTCAAAAGTTCATGTGGGTTTCTTGCAGGCTTCTTTTGGGTTTCATTTCGGTTTCTTTAGGGTTTCATTTAGGGTTTCTTTAGAGTTTCATTTAGGGTTTCTTTCGGTTTTCGTTTACGGGTTCTTCAGGGTTTCAGTTTGGGTCTCATTTAGGGTTTCATTCAGGGTTTTTTAGAGTGTCGTTTAGGGTTTCTTTAGGATGCCATTTAGGGATTCATTCAAAGTTTCTTAGGGTTTCATGTATGGTTTCTTTAGGTTTAATTTATGGTTTCTTTAGGGGTCATTTAGGGTTTCATGTAGAGGTTTCTTATCAGGAGTTCTTATTAGGATTTCTTTAGGGTTTCTTTGGGTTTCACCTAGGGTCTTTAGGGTTTCATTTAGGATACAAACAGGAGAAAATAAAGCAAAAGAAAAGAAAAAACAAAGTTAAGAGGCAGTAAAGACAGGAAGCAGAGAGGAGCAGGAAGTAGAGCAGCAAAAACACATGACTGCAGAAAAGAAAAAGTAGAATAGTAGAAGTAAAGAAGCCACAGAAGCACAAAAGCAGAGAAGCAGAAAAGCAGAGAAGCAGAAAAGCAGAGAGGTAGACATGCAGAGAAGCAGGAAAAGCAGAAAAGCAGAGAAGCAAAGAAGTTGAAAAGCAGAGAAGCAGAACAGCAGAAAAGCAGAGAAGCTGAGAAGCTGAGAAGCAGGAAAGTATAGAACCACGAACCCCCCCAAAAAAAACCTGCCGCGGAAAAAACAAAAAACCAAATAAATAGCCCTCCCATCAAAAGTATTGCCCCTGCCACGCAAAATAGAAACGTCTGCCAAGTACTGCGCCTGCGACGTCAAGACAAGTCCGTGCTAGAAGAACCACGCAAAAGCGTTGCCCATGCCACAAAATCACACTTGAAGCACCTTCAAATTGACACATTTTGCAGCTTCCTTCCCCCGTAGGTGCTATTCTGGCGACAACGATGCGAACAGTTGCCGAGGTTGGAACGCGATCCAACGCCCAGAACCCCCAGGTTAAACGGGAACCCTTCGGCGACGCATTCAAATATGTATACATATATATATAATATATTATATATATATACATATATGTACATATATGGAATCGCCAGGCTGCCTTTCAACCCAAACATGCCGGCTGCCACCCAGAAACTCGTCTCTGGCATTAGACAGTGTCGAACTCCTGTGAATGACATGTTGGGATGTTTGGGTTCAATGTCGTGAACATCTTTTAGAGGCCAACCTTACCAGTGGCAACTACAAGAAGGGAAAAAGGGGAACAAAAGAAACCAAATGTCCCTGTCCCTGACATTGCTGACACGACAGGCTTTCTTTCAGGAGTATCGGCTCAACTGAAACTGTCACAATGAAGCCTACAGTTTCAACCCATTTTTGCGCAGAAAGAAACTCCGTCACCTCACCTATCTGAACAAGTGTCACGGCATGGTGCAGTCTGTTGGTATTGATTTGTCTTGTCTTTAAAATGCATGTCTTGGCAAACAAGTTCTTGGCAAGTGAGAATTGATACCACCGTTAAACCATGACTATATACATATATATATATATACATATATACATATATATATACATGTATACATATATATATATATACATATATATATATATACACATATATATATACATATATATATATATACATGTATATATATATATATACACATATATATATACATATATATATATACATATATATATATCACTCTTCTTTCACCCGTCATTTCTTGAAGTTGCCCGATGGCGCTTACACGCCAGGAACCTACCGACTGGCCAGTCTCAAAATTCTAAGGCCCGAGGCTTCTCGCTTTTCAAGGGCCAGGCCAAACACACAAATAACAAAAATGCAAGCTAAATCCATCATTCGTTTTCTGCGTCGCAAACAAAATCTTCAGTAAGTGCCAGAGGGAATCTTTAGGACATAAACTCAGCGGTCCGTGAACAATGCTGTTCAGGGACAAGCACCAATCCACAAGCATAAGATGAGAGCAGATGACAGAGAGTTGAGCCGCCACCTTCTGAACATAAAATTCTGAGGTCTTGGTTCTTGTCCACCGCCCTCGCCGGCAATGTTAGGTATATCTTCAGTGTCAAGAGACTGCTGAGCCGCACCAGAGACGCGTAAGCCTCCAGGAGTTGCCTCCCGGCTAGTCTGACGCCGAGGGAGGTGCACAAAATCCATAAAAACGTTCCACTGCCTGCTGAAAACCACTATGCTCGCATCAAACAACTTGGCTTGCAAACGAAGGTTGCTAAGGATGCACCTGACGAGAAGGATCACCGACAAGTCGTCAATCTTCGCAGGCTGGCGCCGGGCGAAGCGCTCTGTCTTAGGGTTGCGCATATGGATGTACATGACCTGCCCTTTGAGTAATGCATCCTCCGGAAGAACCACATCTTGCCATGTCAGTTGTATGAATTCACTAGGATGCAACATACCAGCAAGGTCTATGCTCATCACTCCAACGAACTGCTGCCAGCTCCAGGGCAACCCCAAGTACATCAGCGCTCGGACAATTGGAGCAGAAAGAACAGTATGACACTGTCCCGACTGCTTCAGCTGCCAAGCCCTGCCCACAAACCAAGCTCCTCCAAACAGATACCTGAATTCGAGTCGCAACCTTTGAGCTGCAGTGATGCTGTAACCCAACTGGTGGTGAGGGAGTCCAGCTGCGAGGAACATGCACCCATAAGCCCTTAGACTCAAATTGGCCATCGCGGCGCTTTCCCGTGCTTGGTCAACTGTCTTGCTTAAATTTGACTGAAGCCACTCATTAAACCGAGAAAGGCTTGCCTGCATCTGCTGTGTGGTGGCGCGCGAGAGCCCGCCAAGCAAGTCCAGTTCGCCACAAGGCTGGTACACTTTCTGAAAAGGTCCCGGATTCCTCTCCACATCACCTGACAGTAACAGCAAAAGCCTAATCCAGCGACCGACAGGTCGAGTCCACTTGGACGTCTGCAGCATCAGTTCAAATAAAGCAAAATCACCACGTTGTAAATGTCGAATCCATTCAGCAACATCTGCACTCGGAGGGTCTATGTCCCGCCCACGGCTTGGTCCATCTGCTCGATTCCAGCTTGACCTGACATGTAAGCACCCTGGATACAGACCTCCTCCAAGTACGCAGCCCAGAGAGCTGCGCAACACTCGTGAAAGAGCCTTGCTGCTGCTGCGCCCCTTTGCAGCTGCACCCATAGTGACCCGACTGTCTAACAGCCCCAGCAACCTGTGGTTACCCCATCGCTTGGCACAATGCTTCAGCCATGACTTGTAAACTCTGCATTCCAAAACATTGATATGGCCCCCTTTCTTGAAGCGGTACCTAATCAACTCCTTGTACTGCAGCGTCTCACACAAATCAGCAACCCAGTCGGGGTCTTCAAACCACGCACGCAAAACACTCCGATCAGCGGACTGGGTGACCAGAGACGGCCGTTGCAAAAGTCTCACCTTTTTTCCCCGCAAGGTTTCATCAGACGCAAAACGCTGATGCGCGGCAAGGCTGCCCTTAGCCATCTGCCTACACAAAGGCAAGGGGTAAGCTGCTGAAAAGGAGCTCAAAGCCTCGCCAACACGAGGCACCTTGCCATACACCGTCTGGCAGTCTGGACGGCAGCGGTGCTCAAACTCCGCTATGCCTGCGCGAGTAAAGCTGCCCTCAATGACAAAATGGTGGTTCTTGTAAGGACAGCTGCATCGGCTCTCCAAACTTAAAAGCCAGGGTTTGTTGTGCAGCCACTTGGAGGGTTTATTGAATCCACTGCCGTATGCACAGAAAGGGAACTTCGTGATAACACAACCCAAAGCCACGAGAACTTTGAAAATGTGTAATTCAAACATCACTGAACTGCCCGGTTGTTCAACGGACACAAAACTGCCTGCTGTCAAAGCCAATATCAAAATGAATGCCGTTCGGATCGCCAGCTTGGTCTGCTCCATATAGTCAACTCGTCCTGCATGTCAAACCCAGCAGGCTCCGTTTTGCTTCTGAGGCGCGGCCTCCGGAGCGTCCCAAACGACCAACATGGTGGGGCAGCATGCCACTCTTTGACCTTGCCTGTAGCTGCTAAATGAGCCAACTCGAGAAATGTTTTCTTGTCGCTCAAATCCCCAAAACGAATCCCTTCAGCATCTCTTTCAATTCCTGGGTGAACATGAAGTCCTACCTCGGCATGACAACGACTCCAGTTTGCCTGGCCAGCGAAAAGCTCGATGCAATCGAAGCCAGCGGGCCCCGCATCGTCAGCACCTGCAGCAGTTAAGTTTAAGACAGCACCAGAACTGAAACCAGCAAGGTCGAGGTTGCTGCTGCCAAACGTCTCAATGTGGTCCAACCCTAGCTCATGTAAAACAAGATTGGCCCCAGTTTGAAGTTGTGTGTAATAACCACGCTGCTCCGTATGCCTCCAAATCTCCTCCACGGCCGTGAGACCCAGAGGATGGCGGCAGATAGCACCGGCGCTGGGCGACGCATCCATCATGAAGACTTCCGGACAGATCTTTGCTCGTAAATCAGTTTGAAAAATTGGTCCCAGAATCATGAGGTTGATCAGCTCATTGATGCTTTGCCGAGATAACTTGAAAACCTCATCCATGTGCCTGTCAACCCCTTCGTGGAAAACTGTTTCCAAAACCGAAAAACCCGCTCTCCTAAATAAAAGGACATGAACCCAGGTGCCAATAATGCTCTGCAGGATGCGCCGCGTTGTGTGTTGCCTTTGAACCACGACGGCGGTCACAAACATCAACATCGCCACTCTGCTGCGGGGAGCTGAAACGCGTCCTTCAATCCCATCAACTTCAGCACCTAACACTGTGGCTTGAGGTACTTGCCGCTGTCTTTTGCCGGGGTGAGAAGTAAGCCCCACTTGCTGGTACGCCATATCCGAATTTGCAAAAACCTCTTTGTCCCGGGTCGGCTGTTCAGCCAGTGGAACTAGGTTTGAAACTTTCTGAAGCCCAATGTGGTCATCTATAGTCAGGAGCTCATAAAAAGGGCCCCGAGGAATAGGGTGACGATAGGCAATGAGCTCATGGTCCAACAAACAACCTGCTAGCTGCTGCAGCAAATTGAAGTGGCTCTGTTGTGCGATTTCGACAGCGAGCCCATCACCCATTGCCAATGTACCCAAACAAATATATAACTTCTGACCATGCCACTTGGAGTCAAAACACTTAAGATGACATACTTCGGAACTGTCGAAAACCATCCCAATAGCATTACGAGCAGCCCTATCTTCAGAAACTTTGAAAGTGTAGTAAAACTCACACAAATCATCTGAAGAGATAACCAGGTTCTCATGATCTTCCAGCCGTAGCAGACAAATCAAGGCCCCGGGAGCCAAGGTCTTGGTGAAGTTGGTATAAGAGAGCTGCCGACTGTTGATACCGGTGGGGTTCACAATCAAACGGTCATACTGCTGATCCTTGCTAACTGCAAAAATACCAACGGCTTCGTCCCGCCGCACACTGTCACATGTAACCAACCGGCATGCCCCCAAATCATCCCATTTCTGCGCCAATTGCAAAAGCTCTGATCGCTTGCAATGCACCTGAGCCCTTGCCATCCGTGGCCAATCGCTCTCAGGTGTCCGCAGCACATCTGGTTTTTGAAAGGCACTGTGAACAACAGGGTCAGACAAAAAAGGTAGGGGGTCAAAGGAAGGTCCCAACTTCCATTTAATACGATCAGCAAACACCTCTTTGGACACTGTGTTGGCCAAAGGAACGCGAGTTGGCAAGGTCTCAGGTTGCCAAGGCTCAGCATCTGGGCCAGAAACTGTATCGCCCTTAGGCTCCGAGCTGCAGCTACGTCCACAACTTCCAGTAGCAGGGTTACCATGCTTGGGGCCGTAGGGGTCAACCTTGATTGAAACAACATCTAAAAAACTTTGAAGGTCCTGATGATCAAGTTCGGAAACTGCACTCAGATCGAAGGACGCTTTGCACAAATTAGCCAGCTTTTCTGCCGCACGGCCAAGCTCGCCGAAGTCGACGTCCGGGGCCTTCAAAAAATGGTGAATCAGGCCTTCCAAACGCTCGAGCATGTCGTGCTGGCCGTCAGAGAGGGGGCTACCAACGCAAGCTGCAGGAGGAGGAGAGATAGGGCAACCCAAGCTCAACCAGTTCAGGCTCACTACCACGTGTTGCAAACACTGAGCTCTGGTCTCCAGCATTCTTCTGCGCCTCCGTCTCTTCGGCGACAGCTTCTGGCCGGCCGTCCAATGCCATCTAGGAGGAGGACAAGGCCATAGTTCAGCCCCCACACAGGGACTGTCTTGGTGACGGGCAGGCTGTAGACTTCTGCGACAAAACTCACCAAAGCCTGTATAGGAGGCTCCAGCGATTCGCAGCACAGCACGTATCATTTCAATGCACCTAATTTCTGAGGGCACCCTCTTTCCCGCAACTTTGGCATCGGGAAGCTGGCAGCGAGTTTGCTGCTGTCGGGCGCCCGGCTTTCTGGGGGGCTCGGGGTGCAGCTGGGAGGAGCATCTGGCACAGGCGCGGGAAGAGCTTCTATGGCACTCCAACCCCCGACCGGAATTCACAGTGGAGCCAGAAGCCCCCCGTGCAGAGGTAGAACAGGCCGGCAAAGGGTGAGGCCGGGAAGCAATGCCGTACTTCTCACTCCCACCAGCTGCACCCGTCAGTTTGCTGCAGCTTCTTCGGCGGGGCCGCCGCCGCTTTCCTTTCCTTTGGTTCTCTTCTTCGGCCAGGGCTTCCTTGGCGCCGGCACGTCTGTCGACATCTTTGCAGCCGAGGCTTTGGAATCCTCCTCGGTGGTATGAATCTTGCTGTCCAAGAAGTCCAGGTCTCGCAGGTGCCCCACATTGGTTGCAATCCAGGACGGTTTGCATAACCGGCTGAACGGCTTGACATAGCTGTGAGCTCGAGTCAATTGCACTTGAAGGAAATTGGGCTCCGACAGCCCTGTCAGCAGCCAGGACGAACTCGGCTTGCCTGCTTCCAACGCGGTCGGCGTCACAGTCAGCTGGGCGACTTCGTCTCCGTCCCCCGCTTCCAGCTCCTGCTCTTGCTGAAAGGTTTCGAAGACATTGGCCCCGCTTAGTGTGAGCTCCAAGCCCTGATCTCTCTTCTCTTGTCCACCTAGACGCATAGGACCCGCGCCCGCCAAACTTGGCAATCTTTCCATAGTGTGCGCAGGAACTCCCGGAGCTTTGGAAACAGCCCTCGGCAGCTCCTGAGCCCGCTGCAATGGTTTGGCTGGCGCGGGACTGGTCTGATGCTGAGCCAAGGAGGCCAGCTGCAACTCCCGGTCCTGAATGTGCGCTTGAAGCTGCTCCGCCAAATGCACTCGCCCCAGCCCTTCTCCCACGTCCACTGCGTCGCCCGCTGCAAAAGCCACCTCGCAGGAGACATCCTCGTCTGCAGCTTCTTCGACCACTTGCCAAGCAATCGAGGCAGCGGCTGCAAACAGCCCTCCTTCTCTTGAAAGGCGGCATGTCACCCCAGTGTGAGTAAACTTCACCATTGCCACGGTGGCCTCGCCATGTGGATTGGGCATCTTTTCGAAAACCTGCAAAGCCGCCCAGGGGCAGTCGACCAAAACGGCAACCACTGACCTTAAGGCCCGACTCCGAGCGGTCTCCACCTGAACTGTCGTCGGGTGATGAGCGTAGGAGGCGAAAGGTCCAGCCACCACGAAGACATCCACTACCTCGGACTCTCCGGGCACCAAGAGCATGAATCCACCGGCTCTGTACCGGACAACACAAGTCTGAGCTATCCACCAAACTGTGCCATCTTCTGCTATGATGGAAAACTGCAGGGCTGGGATCAGCCCTTTTGCCCGTGCTTCTGCTACACGGGCCTCCACATCGGCCTGGGCTAATCCTCCCGCTCCGGCGGCCATAGCGCCCGAGCTCCCAACACGTAGGCTTCTGCCTCCGCACGCGATGGAAATGCGTGCGAGACACTTCTGGCGTGGAGTTGATTGGCCCCAGGCAGCCGGACCGTCTGATAGTAGGCCCGGGCACTATGGCAAATACAAGGCTCCGAGCCCGGAGCACCCCTCAAAACCACGTAGATCCTGTTGCTCAAACCAATGTCGGGAGAGCGCTCAAAGGTGCCCGCCTCGTCCAGTTTGTTTCGAGCCGCTAGACCGGCACGCAGCGCTCGTCCCAGCCTGGCAAGCGGAGTCCACCCAGTGACCTCAGCTGAAAGGTGTCGTTGGAGGTGCTCCACACACTGAAGGTCCACCGCCAAAATCTCAGACGCAGTAGCGGCCTCTAGCAAAGCCCTTTTCCACTCCGGGGACCAGGCTCGCGGCCCTTCAACAACGCTCCAAACACTGGAGACTGTAGGAGAGGCCTCGCGCCGCTCTTCGGCTGCAACAGAAACTGCGGCAGCGGCCCGAGGGCCAGCAAGGGAAGAGCTGGTTGCGTCCTCCTCGGAAGAGGTGTTGCTTCGACGTCTCACCGAGATCTCAAGCTCACCGATCTTCAACGTGAGCTCTTCAACCTGCCGGTCACTCATCCAAGAGTGCTCACACTCACTCAGCCTGCTTCGGAGCGGCACCGCACAACCGATATATCCAGGGGCGGCAGGGACCAACACGTTAGTTCAACACTGGAGAAGGGAGGAAAGAATCTTTCTGCAATCTGGGAAAAGCACGAGGCAGCAGGAATTGCCCCAGTACTAAACCAGGTAACTGCAAAACCCGAATCAGAAATGGTGTAGTTCCCAGCCCCAGTCTCGTGCAAACTCCAGTCGGCCAGAAGCACTGAACTCGCGGATGAGGTCAACGGCACCCCACAGGCGCAAGAGCGAACTTGAACCCCAAAAAGCTTGCAGACAATGACTCAAGCAGTGCAAGTGATACAAGACATATACATATATATATATATATACATATATATATATATATATGTGTGTGCTAAGCCTTGTCTCACTTACTGCTCTTGCGTGTGGGCATCATAGTTCATATTTTGGACAAACTTTAAGAGATTTGACATCACCACAATTCCAGTTGAGGGGTAGGTGGTTGTGCTGGGTTAGTGTCTTCGCGGGGTTTAAGGTCTTAGGTCCCAAGAAAAGTTATTGGACCCACAAAGACATCTACACCTTAAGATTCATACAAGTGAGGTGAAAGGAGGGGGTTCCAGATGGTTCAAGGTATTTGGAGGGCCTTGGGCCTTGGGTTCAGCGTTTAGGGTAGCGAAGATATTCGACCCTCAAAATGCATCTCCACCTTTGATGTTGAAAGCGAACATGCAACATGTTCGACATTCTAGATTACATACATCTATACATCCTACCATTTAGGTGGAAAGGATTCAGGCTTCAGGGGGAGCTGGACTGTGGGTCTTGGGGCTGAGGATGTCAACCCTCAAGATCCTCAAGATACATTTCACACCTTAATGTGTCTACTATTCAAGTGGGTGACGTCTGGCTTTTGAGAGAATAAAGCATCATCGTTCTGTTCCAGTTCAGGGCAAACGATGGCGTGTGGTCGTACTCCAACCCACATGTCCAGTCCCACCTCCTACAATGACATTAGTGAATGACAACCCAAATCCTTGAAAAGCAGAGGCACGAATGCCTAATTTACAAATTCGAAGCATCGTCCACAAATTGGAACCTATCACCGCAATCCTTCTGCGCGATCGTCAAGGAAGAGCTCTCAAGCTGCAACCTTGCTGGCAACTGCACTCAGATCAAAATTCATGGATGACATTTTGAAGTGAGGATCAGAAGTCATTACGGCAAGTCGAAGGGATGTATTTACTGGTTTGCTTTCGCTGCAACTTTCTGCACGGCCCTATCAGGGTGATCTGCATTGATGTACATGTTTGTTTTTTGAGTATCCTGGTTCTCTTTAAACCTCTGCGCAAATCATAGGTTTTTTTGATGTGTTTCATAAATGCCTAAGGATTTCCGGTTTGGCGGTGATTCTTCGTCCGGGCTCCCAGATCGTTTGTTAACTCACCAGATGATATTTTTGATTCTGGACTCGATATGAGGATTTCGCTGCACACGGCCAATGTGCTGATGAATCATCAAGTCATGCTGCAACAGCCAACAGTTGGAGTTTGTTGAAGTTGAATACATTGGCAGAGCAGGCTCCAATATTCATAAATTTGTCTGCGAACTCGGAATGCTCTGATTAATTATGCATCTACATGAGGAATGAATTTGTCTGAAGCCCTTTCCGGAAGGCAACTCATTCGGCCGTTTTGCAACGCTGTGTCAAATTGTCGGACCATGTGTCTGCTTCGGGTCAATTCAGCAAGTACTACAACTGCCTCTATCTGCGTTGGTTTCCTGCGACCCCAAACTGCTTAGTGCAATGCATTAGTGACATGAACACATCTCCGGGACAGCAGTTACAACAGAATCCTCCAAGGTCCGCAGCTTGGATTGCGGATGGGTTTTTAAAATGAACTGTCCCCGCGTGTGCTCCATGCTCTTTTTGGAGTTCCTCGTGATCCTTGCCTGAGTCGACACAACTCTAAAGCCTCGAACTCTTGGATGGTTTCTCCAGGTTTTATACCAGTACTACCGCACAAGGCGGTGGCGGAAGTTTCAAAAATAGGAAACCTATAAGAGTGGTTGGTTGTTGTGAATCACGGATGGCAGAATGAATCCACTGATGGACCGAAAGGTGGTTGGAGCTGTGCTTTTGGAGTGGTTGCAACGGTTGCAGTGGTCACCTCACCACAACTGTTGGATGTAGTGTGGTGTAGCGCAGTCGTAGCTGTAGTTGTAGTTGTAGTTGTAGTTGTAGTTGAGCGTAGTGGCGTTGTAGTTGTCATGTACTGTAATTAGTGTAGTGTAGTTGCAGTTGTAGTTGTGGTGTGGTGCAATTAGCGTAGTGTAGCGTAATGTATTGTAGTGTTGTGTACTGTGGCGTGGTGTAGCGTAGTGTAGTCTAGTGTCCTGTAGTGCAAAGTAGTGTAGTTGTAGTTGTAGTGTAGTGTATATGATGCATTTGTAGTTGCAGTCGTAGTTGCAGTTGTAGTTGCAGTTGCAGTTGTAGTTGTAGTGTAATGTAATTTCATTAGTGAAATCTAGTGTAATCTAGTGTTATCTAGCGTAATGCAGTGTAGCGTTGTGTAATGTAGTGTAGTTGTAGTTGTAGTTGTATTTGTATTTGCAGTTGCAGCGTGCAGCAGCATAATTGGTGTAGTCTAGTGTAATGCAGTGTATTGTAGCTGTGGTAGTGGTAGTAATAGTAGCAGTAGTAGCAGTAGTAGTAGTAGTAGCAGTAGTAGCAGTAGTAGCAGTAGTAGCAGTAGTAGCAGTAGCAGCACTAGTAGCAGTAGTAGTAGTCGGAGTAGAACTAATAAGAGTAGTGGGAGTAGCAGTAGGAGTAGGAGTAGGAGCAGGAGCAGTAGTAGTAGGAGCAGTAGTAGTAGTAGCAGTAGTAGTAGTCGTAGTCGTAGTCGTAGTCGTAGTCGTAGTCGTAGTAGTAGTAGTAGTAGTAGTAGTAGCAGTAGCAGTAGCAGTAGCAGTAGTAAAAGTAAAAGTAAAAGTAAAAGCAAAAGCAAAAGCAAAAGCAAAAGCAAAAGCAAAAGTAAAAGTATAAGTGAAAGTAAAAGTGACAGTGAAAGTGAAAGTGAAAGTGAAAGTAACAGTAACAGTAACAGTAAAATAAAGTAAAAGTAAAAAGTAAAAAGTAAAAAGTAAAAAGTAAAAAGTAAAAAGTAAAAAGTAAAAAGCAAAAAGTAAAAAGTAAAAAGTAAAAAGTAAAAAGTAAAAAGTAAAAGTAAAAGTAAAAAGTAAAAAGTAAAAGTAGTAGTAGTAGTAGCAGCAGTAGCAGTAGCAGTAGCAGTAGCAGTAGCAGTAGCAGTAGCAGTAGCAGTAGTAGTAGTAGTAGTAGTAGTAGTAGTGGTAGTGGTAGTAGTAGTGGCAGTAGTAAGTAGTAGTCGAAGGAAGTTTAGAAGTCAAACTTCCGACAATATGGACAGATGAAAAGCAGAGCAGGGCAGAGGCAGAGAGAAGAGAAAGATTAGAAGAAAGAAGAGTAAGAAGAAAGAAATGCAGATGCGAGAAAAGGTAGGAAAGTCGCGAGACACTGTGTTTTTCCAATGATTTGGGGCTCCGGAGGGTCGAAAAGTAGGCTCGCTAAAGCGTCGGTGCGGAGCCAGCTGGCCAGATGAGAGATGAAAAATTGCACGCCGTTGTGGCGCGAAGCACATTTCCAAGTCAAAATTTGCAAAACACCTCAGCTTCGGAGCACTTTTAGAAGTTGCGATGTCGAAAAAGTGCACGCCACTGTGGCGCGAAGCACATTTCCAAGTCAAAATGTACAAAACACACCATTCTCGGACCACTTTTGGAAGTTGAGATGTCGAAAAAGTGCACGCCGCTGTGGCGCGAAGCACATTTCCAAGTCAAAATGTACAAAACACTTCAGCGTCGGACGACTTTTGGACGTTGAGATGTCGAAAAAGTGCACGCCGCTCTGGCGCGAAGCACATTTCCAAGTCAAAATGTACAAAACACTTCAGCATCGGACGACTTTTGGACGTTGAGATGTCGAAAAAGTGTACGCCGTTGTGGCGAGAAGCACATTTGGAAGTCAAAATGTACAAAACACTAGGGGTGCGGACCACTTTTGGCAGTTGAGATGTCGAAAAAGTGCGTTGTGGCGCGAAGCACATTTCCAAGTCAAGATGTACAAAACACACCATTCTCGGACCACTTTTGGAAGTTGAGATGTCGAAAAAGTGCATGCCGCTGTGGCGCGAAGCACATTTTCAAGTCAAAATGTACAAAACACTTCAGCGTCGGACGACTTTTGGACGTTGAGATGTCGAAAAAGTGCACGCCGTTGTGGCGAGAAGCACATTTGGAAGTCAAAATGTACAAAACACTAGGGGTGCGGACCACTTTTGGCAGTTGAGATGTCGAAAAAGTGCGTTGTGGCGCGAAGCACATTTCCAAGTCAAGATGTACAAAACACACCATTCTCGGACCACTTTTGGAAGTTGAGATGTCGAAAAAGTGCATGCCGCTGTGGCGCGAAGCACATTTTCAAGTCAAAATGTACAAAACACTTCAGCGTCGGACGACTTTTGGACGTTGAGATGTCGAAAAAGTGCACGCCGTTGTGGCGAGAAGCACATTTGGAAGTCAAAATGTACAAAACACTAGGGGTGCGGACCACTTTTGGCAGTTGAGATGTCGAAAAAGTGCGTTGTGGCGAAGCACATTTCCAAGTCAAAATGTACAAAACACACCATTCTCGGACCACTTTTGGAGGTTGAGATGTCGAAAAAGTGCATGCCGTTGCATTTCCAAGTCAAAATGTTCAAAACACGAGGGGTTTGGACCACTTTTGGAGGTTGAGATGTCGAAAAAGTGCACGCCGTTGTGGCGCGAAGCACATTTTGAAGTCAAAATGTTAAAAACACTAGGGGTTCGGACCACTTTTGGTGGCGCACGAGATTGTGGATCTTGTCAAGCTGTGCCGTGTAAGAGGATCTTCTCATTAACATCAAGAGCCAAGAGCGCACCACAGTCGAATGTCT